GAACAATATTTAGGGAGTTTTCATTTTCCTTTAATTTGAATTGAGTTTAAGAATTTTCATTGTCTTTTAAAATTCATTGTCTTACTCTCAATTATTTTAGCTTAAAAATTTAAAAATCAAAAAAAAAAATTTAAAAGTAACACGACCTATACCAAAAAAAATAAAAAGAAAAAATTTCTCTCTATTTTGTACAATTTTCATAAAAAATTAAAAAGTTATTTCAAAATATATTAATTTTTTACTATATTTTAATAAAAAATTAAAAATTATTAAAATAACTTATTTCCAAACCCAGGTCTAATATCCTTTAAAAGTTATTTATTTATTTATCTATTTGTGCATTTATTTTTTGTAGATTGGGTTTTTGAATTGACCCGTTAGGTACATACTAATTGGCTTAGTTATGTGATTGCCCAAGGAACCAGTGCTTGCAACTGTGTAATATACTTTTTCTTCTCCCATTATTATTTTTATTCTAGGATTGCAAAAGGTTTACAAGACAATAGTGAAATTTGTGCTTAGCATTTGTACTTATTCCATAGTTGATCCTTTAGCTATTGGTTGATTGTGTCATGCATTTTATATCTGTTTGAAAATTGAGTACGTTGGATTTCTGAAAATGGATTTGATGGGTAATTCGCAGAAATTCAAAGTTTAAATTTTCTAATAATTTGATTTCTATTTCTATAATTTGTCTTCCCAAAGTACACCAGAGAGATGGTGAAACTGTGAAGTCTCTAATTTTTAATTCGGTGTAAGCTATTTTTAATTGTTGTGGTTGGAAGTGGTTGTGATTTCTGAAATGGGTTTGATGGGTTTTGATTTCTAATAATTTTGAATGGATTTGATGGGTTTAGTTTAAATTTGTATGAAACATAATATTAGGAGTCAATAACTAAAACAACACCCACACAAATACTTGAAACAACATTTGATGATAAAAGGATTACCAATGGTATTCTTATTGTGTTTGATTTCTTACTTTCAACTAGAATGTCATGCTCTTATTGCACCATGGTATTCTCCTTCCCATAAAATGTGTAATTTGGTAGGTATTGATGATGTATCCTCTGTGGTTGATGGGTTGTGATTTAAATCCATAAACTATTTGGTTGTAGGAAATTATTATCCATCAGCTTTGCTATAGGTATGATTTGTAGGTATACTGACTTGAACACAATTAAAAATACTTTTTATTTTATTTTGTTGGTCATGTGTAATGATGAAAAAAAAAAATCATACCTACAATTGATGAATGAATGTGTTTAATAGTATAGGATTTGTAATGGTCAAGTTAAAACAACCTGGCTTAAATTTTTATTCATGTTAACTTGTTAGGATTTGAATCTTTTAGTTATTGATTTTGAAATTCTGTATTGATTTTTTTCTTTTTCATGTTATCCGTACTTTCTTTTGGTATTATAAACTTTCTTTTGTGTTATAAATTTTTCTTTGTTTACGCCAACCAGGTGAGCATACCTAAGTGAAATCTGTATTAGAAAGGTAACGGGGATAACATTAAATTTGAAACTCTTTTTCATTATTGAGCAGAGTTATTTGGATTGGAGTGGTTGCATAACCTGAAGACCCAATCTTTTGGACACCATCAGCAATACTGCACATGGCAACCAGTAATCGAGCTTGATTTCTATTTACCTAATTAAGTTTTGTGTTCAGCTATAAACAAAAATTTACTTTTTTTTGATATTGCAATTTCTTTTTGTGCTGCTGCTTCTTCTCATGTTGACTTTCTTCATAGTTGTAAATATTTTTCTCTTTTGTGATTTGTTTGAGATTGTTATTGGCTATTGAACACGAATTTAAGCCTAATTTTTCTAGCTCTGAATGAATTTCAGTTTTTCCACCAATTCCCAATCATAATATCTTGATGAAGTGACACACACGCAGGTATTATGATATCTTACAACAAGGTTGGCATCTCCAATGGTTATTGCAAACATGGTACAAATGTTTTTTGTTTTTTGTAAACCACCATATGATTCAATCTACCACGTACGACATGTTTATCTCGTCTAATGTTAAATTCATGAAATTGGAAAAAAAACAACTATGTAAATTTTAGGCAAAATGTCAAACTGATCAAATGTGATAAAATTGGCATTTTGTTACAACTTGGTGCCCAAATATATACAATGCCAAATTTTGGCACACATTGGACCGGTTTTTCTGTCTATGCTCAAATCCCAAATTTGGGCTTTGGTTGTTTTGAGGTTTGTGCATACATTGGAGATGCTCTATTTGCCATCATATTAAAACTTGGAGAACATTAGGATTTAATGGAGTTTACTGGCCATCAGTGAAATTATTTTGTTCCCGGTTGTGGTGGAACATATCAATGAAAACCATTTATTTCCATGGCCTCAATTGGAAGCACATGATAGGAAGAGCTGCGAGTAGCTTAAATTGAAATTTGGTTCTTTGTTGGCATATACTTTCACATTCATCAGTTCATGGATATGTAAGGCCGTAACAAGACTGATCAACTCTGCTGTCAATTTATCTGAGTAAAATAATTTGTTTTGATTCTATCGATGTGTTACTCCACAAGAAATGACTGCACATTGCAATAAATTTGCTAAAAATTTACCAATAGGTTTTTGTTTTTCAAGCTTCTTTGTTTCTCCTTCTTGAAAGTCAAACCATTTAGTTTGGATGGCTTTGATTGTGGAAAACTTCTGTTCTTTACCTGTTGCAAAACTTTTTTGTTTTATTGGTTTACGGTAAATGAAAGAACAGAACAACAACTTAAAGATCGATAAACACGTAAATTAAACTGAAAATTAAAACTTATTGGGGCTTAATTGAAATTTCATTTGGAAACTCGCCTGATGTGCTTTATAAACTTTGATTTCAAATCGCTCTCATTTGATTGGAAACTCTCACAGCTTCTGTGAAACTTAGATAGATGTTTTTGAGTTTGTTTCATGGTTGGGGGTCACCAAAGCTCAACAATGGTGTTTGGCCTATGCCTTTGTCTTTGGATATAGAAACAGGGAATTTCAGAGTGAAGGGCAGTATTTCCATCTCTATGAATTGATAATTTATTTTTAAGAAAGGTTGGGATTACAATTATATTCTAATTCCCAACATTATTTACACCGTGCCTTCAGGCACGGGTGTACATTATTTACAACGTGATGAATTGTTTATCCCAATTACGGATAATTTGTTTCAGTTATATATCATAGACATTTCTACCATTCAAAGTTTTTTTTTTTTTGTTTTTTTTTTTTTTTTGGTGACAAGTGGTCATTTCCGCTGATTCCCATAATGACAGAAAAAAAAAATGGGATGGATTATCTAAATAGTTGTATCTTCTTACAGGAATACTTACATGGACGATTCATTGTTAGTGGCTGATCGGGGATTTAAAAATTCGTTGTAACTCATTTTCCTCCCCATTGGAAATAAATAATTATTTAGTCATTCCATTTTATTTCTTTATCCAATAATGTTAATCTCATGAGATACAGAGTCTTTTGGCCCTTGGCTACCAAGTGAGTGATTTTTTTGTATATCACTGTTTATATTACATCAGTGGTTAGGAGAAAACAAGTGACAGCATTGACAGGAATGGGGGTTTGCTTAAGTCTCTCAGAATTTTGCTGCTTGAGCTAAAAATATAAGATTTTTTTTTTCTTGGAAAAGGTTCATAACATAGTGGCATTGAGAATCTGGATTGTAGCATCTATCTGACATAATGGTCCAGGTTAACTTAATACATTTTGTATTAACCAAAGGATGTTTTTTTTGGATGTGTTTTGTTATAATAGTATGAATTTATTATTAGTGGATCTTTATCTGCCCGGGCCAAGCAACTTTCAGCCCCATGAGTTTCAATTCAGGTTTTTATATTTTGTATTGTAAAACTTGAATGTGGGAGTTCTGGATTTGTAAACTTCTTTCAACAGAAAATTGTAATTGAGTTATGTTGTTTGTGCATGTAGGGACTTCCACTCTTTCCAATGGGCA